AGAACTTTGATAGTTGTGATGATTCATTATAATTGCGATGAAGCACAAGCATGTTGCTTCTCTTTAATAAAAACAAAGTGAGAACAAAATTTGTCAATAATTCACATAGTCATTTTTCTAATTTTGTTTAAAAAATGTGTATTCTTTAGACATTTGCTACTCACATTGATTTTTTGTAAAAAATGGATGAAGAAAACATACGTCATTTTGTAATACTCTTTATTTTGTGAATTTTTTATCTATTTTGATCACAAGATCAATATAATGAAACTAATATTATATATAAATAACTAGATGAGTAGCTTTTTTTCCAAAGAGAGTCACAATATCATCTACATATATAATAGTTGTGATTTTATAATCGCTTGAAACATTGAGAAGCTTATCTCAGTTTAACTGTTACAGACACATCATGATTTTCATGATCTTATATGAATTACAATAAAATGCAAATTATGTAACCCTACTTTCACATTGATCTAAAAGCGAATGTAGAGAAAAATTTGCTTCAATTATTCTTTTCTTCAAATGATAAAGCAAAAACCTAAACTACACAATGTGTTGTAATATTGGCAATAATTTGAAAGTTTCTACCAATAATGATGCAAATATACTTGACTACTATGTAATCATTCAATCCAATCAATTTTATATTTGTGATATCAGGTCAATGGTTTTTAATCGTAGCTGCTATTTAGCAAAATAAAAGATCACTTGATGTATGATCTCTTAGCACAAAAATGCGCTCCCATGTCTTTGTAACCTTATGAGAGTTAAAATTTTGGATTTAAGCTCTTGCAAAATTATGCTTGGGGTTTTCTGAAAGTTTTGGCAAGATTAGGAGTTGATGTAATGGCTAGTAGGCAAAGGTGCGGAAGGAGGACTTCGGGGCAAGGGCCTTTGGCAGTAGCAGGTCTTAAGGGCAAGGCCTTTGTCGGAGGAGTAAAACCATCATAACTTTCTGAATTCGTAACGCCTTGACTCAATTAGGATTTTGTATGAAAGAAATCGACCCGCTCGTTCCAACGAGACCAAGAACTCTTGAAACGAATAAGAGATCACTTAGTTAGAAGCGTCGAAAGCGGCTCATATGGTTAGGCAAAAGGCCTTCGGCGATAACAGATAGAGAGGTCTTTGGCGATAACAGATAGAAGAGCCTTCGGCCCAAGGAGTTGCGAGTAGGGAGCCTACGCATAGGCAAACGCCTTCGGCGGAAGAGTAAAACAGTGATAACCTTTTCAATTCTTAACGGTTTGACTTAGTTAGGAGCCCGTTAGAAAGAGCTCAACACGCTCGTTCCAACGGACCCAAGAACGTTTCAAACGAAGCAGGGATCTGTGAGTTATGAGTGTTGGAAGTGACTGTTATAGATAGGCAAAGGTGCGGAACAGTGTCTTCGGCGGGGGAATGCCTTCGGCGGTGCGCGGAAGAAGATTTCGGACGGCGGATGTTGGCGTGGTCATGAATGAAGACTGTACAGGTGTGGCAGTGGCGGTGGCGTGAAGTCGAACGTGGTAAACAGGACGGCGGGGCATAAAGTCGCACATGGGAAGCAGGCCGTTGCCATCATTGCGACAACGGCATTCATGCGGCCTGTGGGCATCTCGGCCCTTGGACGTTGGAGAGGATTATTCGGCCTGCGAGCTGAGATCGTGTGGTGTGCCATTGTGTGGAGACGCTGGTGGGATCAGTATGAGGAATAGAGTGTGGATGTGAGTGATTTTCGCATGGAAGTAGTGAGAATTATGAGGGGAGTGTAGAGAATTCAAAGGAGGAGGGAGAGAACTCTCGAGGGTGGAGAGTCGACTCTGTGAGTGGGAGCTGAAATCAGAGTGGAGGTTCTGAGAGTGGGAGTTGAAATCGAAGTGAAATCTGAGACTGAAATGTGACAGTCGGGATTTGAATTTGAAACTGAAAAGTGAGAGTTAAATCTGAGAGAGAAATCTGGTGGGATCTGAAGGTGGAAACTGAGAAACCGACTCTGAAATCTGAGTAGGAATTGGGAGTGGGAGTTGAAATCAAAGTGAAATCTGAGACTGAAATGTGACAATCGGGGTCTGAATTTGAAACTGAAAAGTGAGAGTTAAATCTGAGAGAGAAATCTGGTGGGATCTGAAGGTGAAAACTGAGAAATCGACACTGAAATCTGAGTAGGAATTGGGAGTGGGACTAAAATCGAAGGTGGCAACTGAGGCTGTGAGATTGAAATCTGATACTTGAAATTGTGGGTGGAATCTGATAGGAGGGTGAGATCCCTAAGAGCGAGGGTGTTGAAAGCGTGGAGTCGCTGAGAGTGTAGCCGGAGGGCTGAGCGGAAGAGTGTGTGTGAGGGCCAAGAGGATCGCTGGGCTGAGACTCAATTGATCACTAAGAGGAAGAATCGAGCAAAGTGTTGAGAGTAGAATCGTGTTCCATGGGTATGAAGGTTGCTGTTAGGAAGGATGTCACCTTGTGTTGCTGGTGTGTCACTTGACTGTGTCCGAGGCAGTGTGTCTAAGATGTGGCACTCATTCTAGGATAAGCCACAGCGGCTGTAGTATTAAGAAAGTCACCCACAGTTGGGTTAGATCTTTATGTGACGAAGAGCTTGTCTGCTGCTCTTGTGAAAATAGCAGACAGCAAGTTGTTAGTGTTAGTTCTGGACAATTTGTCTATGGCAAAGCGAGTATTTATGATCTCATTGTCTTGAATACACTTTGAGCACATGGTTTGAGATCAGAGAAGTTAGATTATGGGAGCTCGAACCCCCACCTGGACTACAAACGTTGAAAGGTGGGGAGTTTAGGCTCACATGATCAATTAAAAACTTGAATGAAAAATTAATCTTAGTTTTGACATGATAGAAGTCATCATACCAAGTTTTGAAATTTAAATTATAACGTTTAATTAAATAATCAATTTTCCATCATCCTTATCATCAAACTATGAGTAAATTTTTTTTACTATTAAAGACTTGATCATATTTTTTACTATTGGAATGTAAAATCTATAAAAGTCTTCTCCAAATACGATTTTTTTATTTTTTTTATATTGGAGAAGTATTTTTCTTTTTTGTATTATAGTTTGATGTTGTATTCATGCATTTGTATTTGATGATGTATGTTTCAATGATATATTTGATGTATAAACATGTATGTATATAATGTATTTGATAATGTATGCATGGATCTTGACTTGTACCTATGAATTTTGTTTTTTTTTCATGACCATGAAGCTTTTCAAATTTATCATAATTTTCTTCCGACGCTACAATAGACGATTAACTCTTGTTCATCAAACAACATTTAACTCAAATCTTATCTCAACAAAAACATGGTAGTGTCAAAAGTATTTAAGAAACTCTAGATACATATTATATACAGTAATGAATATGAATGTATATTTCCATCAAACTGGCCAAGAATTTGACTAATCCAACAACTATATCTTTGATCTTCATCCTTTTCACCGCATGAAAACAATCATACGTCAAATCATGTAAGTTTTTATGTTGGAAAAGAAAAAAAAACTAAAGTTATTTTCTTCTCTACCTTTCATTTTTCTGTTTCCTTTTTCTTTTCAAAGAGACTCTTGTCATACCCATTTTGAGTAATTGGCACCAGAATCACAACATGCCTCACATGTTGGGCAATCTTGCATTAATAAAGAAGGATTGACAACATTGTGAATTGCAGAATTGCGTTTGCAAATTTTGAATTCATGATTTGGATCACAAATTTAAATCTGTTAAATGCAAATAGGTGAAACTCTCACATATTATTGAATTAAGTTGCATTATTCGCAATACAACATTAAACATTTTGCATGTACTTTCTTTTTCACGCACCAAAACATCACGCTACACTGTAGCTTTTCCTGACCACCGAGTTGGATTTAGACAAAAGAGCAGAACGTCTGACCAGCAATTTCCAATCAACCACTTAGACTCGCTTAAGGTTGAAATGCATACAGATTTTTTAAACTTGGGGTTGGACACGTGATTCTCTCTCGATCAAAAAATACTCTTGTCATTGCTGATTGCAATGAAAGATTTCCCAATACAAGTTTCATGAATACTACATGTATCAATTGAACAAAATAATTCACCAAAATGACATATTGCTCGGTAGAAACATCATCATAAATAGCAAATATGTGGCCTAGCTATCTTGAAAACCGACCACCCTTTTATCCAGGTTTTGATATGCACATATGAGATAAAGCTCGTTGAGAGTAGTTGACGCTATCAACATAGATTCACCGATTGTCATAAACTATTGACGATCATATACAAATAACGCATACACATCACAAACCAAACACGAGACTTTAGAGAAAAGCCTATAGGAAGTACGTGGTTTGGGCTACGTCTATGATAACTCAGAAAAAAATAAGAGTATTACTAATAAAAATCTTAAAGTGTTAAACGAGAGCTTAGCTAGCTCTTCTTTGTGTTTTCAACATAAACTAAACTCTAACTAGGATAAGGCATCCGGATTAAAACAAAGTGAGTTGATACTAACAAAGATTCTATTGCTTTATTGATACCTTAAACTAGTTCAAAGCAGCTGATTAATATGTCTTGCAAGTTTTATCTTTCTCTTATATGAAAATATGTCTAAAACATTAGAGAAAATGTATCAATAGTTACATCAACCTTTTTCTCTTGTACATAAAAAATCATGAAGTATTTGAAATTGCAACATGACTTCAAGAGCGAATTAAGGGTTGCAAATAATGTAAGTTATGAATCTTATGTGTACTATACATCTATGTAAAAAAATTATGGGCATATGAACAATATTTGGTTTTCATGAAATCTAATGGATTTGATTAGGAGTCATTTTCCCCATTCCATGTTCCCAGATTAGACAAGTGAAAAACGGGAGTGGTAAACCAATCAAAAGACAAAGCTAGAACAAGTAAGCGGCGGAATCTCGCAAATTATATCGATTTAATACATCCATGTTCCTCCCACTTCTAGCCCCTCTATGGCTGAACAGTTCAGATCGCTCGCATTTTCAAAACGAAGAAAATCGCGGGTTAACCAACAGCCCGTGATTATGGATGGGCTTTCAATGTCGGAGCATTTCTGTTTTGCTGTTTATCGACGATCAGACCCAGATCGAAAAGATTCACGTGGCGAGATTCGATAAAGATCCAGAATGGCAGAATGAGGCAGGCAATTCCGTTTTGAGGAGAGCGGGTTGTAAATTCGTGAGCCCGGAGAGCCGATTGAATTCGAACCCGGCTCCGTAGACCATCGTATCCTCGTTGCTTTGCCCCTGTGTTTATTGCAATCTGGGAATCTGAGCAGCTGCGAGGACTGCATTTCGATTCATTAACTCTGTCCTCCCACACTGTGAGTCCCGAGCGGCACATCAAGAACGGGGTTTCTGTTGTAGAGAATGAGAATAAGGTTCGAACTTATTGTGTTGGCATTGGCTAAAACGAGGAAATGAGAATTTTTGAGACTAGGAGAAACTCTCTATCTTTCACAAATGTCGACACACCTTCTACTGCAATAGACGCCCTTTTTGACTCCCTCGAAGGTGAATAGACGGGCTTCTTGGTTGATTGTGAATGTGGGGAATTGTTTGAGCGTATGCCTTTGGCTCGAGGGTTTTGGGGTTTTGTCATCACGGAGTTTTGAAGACTCCTGTCTTCAAAGTTATGATGAATTTCACTCTCTGCAGGCTGAATTTCCTCGCAGTTTTTTTGGGACAGGTTTTATTATGGGATGCAGTTTATTTCTTTCTGGGAATGGTTGAAGATGCAAGGAGGGCTGGTTAGCTGCAGGGTTGAAGTATCTGCTTGTGGGTTAGGAAGGTGAAGCTATAATTTCAAATTAATTAACATGGATAGGTCGGAGGCTATTTGTTCTGAAGTACGTTTGTCCTCTTTCTTGCTGTTGTGTATAACGTCGATCAGAGAAGGTGACCTTGTGGTAGGAATTTTCGCTGTGGTTTTCAGGTGATGTATTTAGCTGCAATACTTGAGCCGCAGCTGTGGAGATGCCTCAGGTGATCATCACAATACGTAATCAGGGCAGAATAGAGTCTTTAAGAAGGCTTGAAATGGTGAACTTTGAGAGAATGCGGAAATGACATTGAAATGGCCAGCCTCGAACGTGTTGGCCACATCTTTGAGCATGGTAGGAGCTGGAAAGAGTCCATCGCTAGGAATAGGTGTTGGTGGTGGGGAGATGGGCTTCCAAACAACAGGAATTTGGAGAGGGTTGAGGCAGATTGGATCAGCGCAGAAAGCATTTGGAGGGAGAGGAAAGATCGTTGGAATGGGTAAGGGAGCTAGGTCCATCGCCATTGCAGAATCAGCCGGAACTTGCAGGCGGAAGAACAGAGCCAGCGTTTCCCCTCTAGACTTCGAAGCTGGAAGGCTAACTTTTCCTGTTGAGATAATAAAGATCCCTGGTCCTTCTTGCGCAGTTGGGACACTTAGCGCTCGTGGATTTGAAAGTGGACCTCCTAAAAGCTGTGATCGGTTGCTTGACCGAATTGTATGGTCTTCCAAAATGCATTCCAGGTATGAGATGTACTTATTTGAGAAAATTGCTAGACTGGTCCGGCTGGGATTTTTCAGTCTTCTCACACTGTGTTTCAGTATTAATGTTTGTCTCGCTACGTATATGGTGTAGATTACAGGTGGGGTTTTATTATGTTCTGTCTGGTCGTGTGCTTTAGTTTCGGGTAGGAGGCTGATTGAACGAACTAGATGCACGCAAATTTTTGAAGTGTAGAATAAGCTTTGACGCTTGGACGGACTCATTTCTTGGGGAAATATTCTGTTGTCTATATGGTTGTACTTTTTCGCGAATAGTGGGTATATCTCATAGATATTGAGCTCCTAATTTGATGTATCAAGTTAATTGATAACTTACTGTGTTTCAGATGCCCTCAATTTGCATGCACGTTCAAGGATCCTACGTTTTACTCGAGGGGAGGGAGGAAAATAACGAGTTTTTCAGGTTCTCCTGTAACTTTTATAAGTTCACAGAAGCTAAGTGGCTCTCTCCCTTGTGTGAGAGACAGTAGATCTCCGGCATTAGCTTCAAGTTCCTCGTACTGTCAACCATGCAAATCAAATTTCAGACCTTCCTCACCTGTGTATAACGCGGCCTCTGGCCAGAGAAGGCTCTCGTATTTCAAAAGTGAGAATCTTAGATGGAGGAGAATTTTCAAAGTATTTTCGGAAGACGTTGACAGCAGAGAAGCTGTTGCGAATGATCAAGAACGGGATTCTAGTGTGAATATGGTGGCTGAAGGCATGACAGGGAAAACAGAGGATTTTGAAGATATTGGTGGACAAGGCCTTGACGGACTGGCTGAAAGCACAGCACGAGGTTCTGTGGAAAATACTGATTCACAATCCAAAAGGGTGGAAGTGAGTTTTGAAGCAGGCACGGCACTTGACAATGTACACAAGGGTCCAGGGAATCCAGTTTCTGATAATTTAACTCCTAGCGATGTAACTGTTATATGTTTCGATATCGAGACCACTGGTCTCCATCCAGCTTACCACCGAATTATAGAGTTTGCAGCCCGTGATTTATCGGGAGGTGAATACAGCACCATCGAGACGTTAGTCAATCCAGATCGAGAGGTTCCTCTAGAATCTGAACGTATTCACAAGATAAGCAGTAAGATGGTGAACAAACCTGATGTGCCAAGGTGAATATATCAGCCCATTGTCTGTGGTATTGTCCATCAGAAAGATTGCTACGACTGTTTTCTTTGTTTGCCATCATCTTCGACATCGCGTCACGTAAAAGTTACTATTTGTGCCCTATGATCAGCCCCTCAGAGTGTTGCAACTGTCTACTGGAGATGCTTTGAATATAAGCTTTGAATATACTTTCGAAATGCCTTATCGTTCACGTCGATAATGGTCCTTTATCTGAGTGAAAAGGACAATGTAGTACATGTATAGCAAACTTTCACAATGTGCACATCTTCCTAAAGCATTATAGTTGTGACCTATTATGAGCAAATGTCTAGTCTTTGCTTCTATTCTTCTCCGACTCAGCTAAACGGCGTTGAACCCAGAGTTGAAGAGGAAAACGTGGGTTCATAACTACACAGTTCAGTCCCATAGTACTGTACTCAACTGTGTCACGTCTCGTATGTGATGCTCAGATGGAAGGATGTTGCACTTGCCATCGTAAGCTTCGTCGAGAGTAGAAGAAAAGGGCAGGGATCGGTTATTCTTGTTGCGCACAATGGGAAGCGATTTGATGTTCCGTTCATTATGAAGGAATTTCGTGATTGTGATGTGCCAATACCATCGTACTGGCGCTTTGCCGACTCGATGCCACTAGCTAGGTCTGCAATGAAGTCCTTGGGTAAGTATCGCTTCTATGTTGATCGGCTCTGTGTAGCGTATACTACTTTCCAGAAATCTGGTGTTTTCGACCAAAAAGCCCTAAAATATGTAGCCCCTTTGCAGAACAGAAAGTAGTGCAAACTTGAAATTGGAAGCAGCATTGCTTTCTAGTTTAGACTGCATTCAGTTTGCGTACTGTTTTTGATTTCTGCGTATTGTGCATTCAAGCATAATCATCTGATCGTTTATGTAAACGAACTCTTTGTAAGCTCCACTTTTCTTTAGAGTACTGTCTGATTGCTTGTTTGTATGTGAATTCCTCATGCTACTCTAGGTTGTAATATAGTTCTATCTTTTTACTGAAATGCTCGCTTTGCAGGGCAGAAGAGACCTAAAGTGGCGTTGATGGATCTCTTCAATTTTTACAATCTCCAGTCCGTGGGCGATGCACATCGAGCGATGGCCGATGTGAATATGCTGGCTCCAGTTTTACAAATGGTTATGAACGATCTATCAATGGGCGTTCTCGAGCTGTTAGAACAGTCCTTCAGTGTTGAAGATTTAAGTGAGAAGGGGAAGGCCTTACCTATGAATCGTGTTCCTGCGATTGAAGAAATGTATGATGGTGTTGAAGTGGATGTTCCAGAAACTGGTGTCTCGTCTGAGGTCTTGGGTACTTTGAACCTTGATGCAGCTTCTCAGTCGTACGAGGCTGCTCTTGGGATCGAAACAGGCCGGGAAGTTGGAGAAATCTTGAGGGTATCTGTTCCGTGGGATTCATCTGACAAACCAAATCTACAAACTGAGGATGAGTTTGAGAAATCTCTTGGATTAAGTCTTGGTGAAGGTCAAAAACTCAACCTTGGTCAGCCTATATATGAATTGGAGGAGGAATCCTCAAAGCATGTTCCAAAAGAGACGATTTCTCAGTATGAAGAATATCTTCGAGAAAAAGAGGATGACAGGCTTCCGTCTGATCGCGACATATCAAGCACACCTATATCCTATGCCGCTTTGACAGGTTTTGTGCCTGCTGATCTTGGGGAGCCTCAAGTAACCCCTGAAGGCAAAAACATTCGAGGAAGAAGTTCTGATTTAGGTGAAGAAATTTGTAAAGAAGAAATGTCATCTTCATTGATTAAAGGCGAGAAAAGCTTACAAGAAGTTGGTCGCGACGTGAGAGGCGATGATCGTGAGAAAGAAGTGGATGTTTTTGTCGAGGAAAACATCGATGTGCTTCGCAAGCAACTTTCGGAACTGCAGGTAGAAAGCAATGGTAGTGCCTGGGATTCAGATGAGACACCTGTTGTAAACGCTCGCAACCTATTAGAGGAGGATGAAGCACCCTTGCTTACTAGCACAGTCGACGTCTCGCTGTTGAGTCCCATGATGAAGCAGTACGTCGAGACTAAACGACAACGGGATCCCAAGTTTTTGCTTCTTTCACAAGTGGGCGATTTCTATGAGGTAGAAACCGAAAGGAGCAAAATCTAGATAAATTAGTTGATGGTTATGAAGTCCGTTCAGTATTTAGCTGCTGTAGACAATGTGTCGCTTCCTATGTTCTACCTATCGTGAAATTAACTTGTAGGTAAAATATTTGCAGGCATTCTTCGAGGATGCTAACAGGCTGGCTGAGGCATGCAATATTAGACTCACAGCCAAAGAGGGTGGTAAGGTACGATTGAGGTTCTATCTGATTGTTTTTCTCTAAAGTCTTGGTATTGCACATTCTCCCCCTATTTTTCTTAGTTGCATATTTTGGGTTTCAAAAATATTTGCGCTGAACATGGAGTTATATGCATGCCCTATCTGAGCCCTCTAGTAAGTTCACAGAGGTCCGATTTAGATGTTGACTTGGGTTCTGAGGTACTTGTATGAGCTGGCTGACTTCGTCTTTTACCTTCCTTTACAATCAAATCCTGACATATGAAGGTATGATGCTGTAGAGCACTCCGCTGACCTTATTGTTCAATTTCCTGCAGCTCTTAAAGAGAAAAATACCTATGGCCGGAGTTCCAGTTCAACACATTGATAAAAACTTACACACTCTACTTGCCAAGGGCATCCCTGTTGTCCGACAAGAGCAGGTAAAATACTGCCAGCCCTTTGTAGTTACAATAGCTGTCAAACAGCCCGTTTGCCCACAACTCCTAAAGCACCTTCTTTCTGAAGGTCACAAATATTTCGCAAGGACAAGATTGTGCTACCTCTGTCCATTTGATTCTTTTAGCTGTGTAAAAGTAGTCGCAACCAACGACGTGAAGATCGAGGCTTTGCAAATCTATTCTACGTACTCATACAGTTGCATAATAAAGCCATTTTCTTGCCTTGGTTATAACACTTTCAGAAGAAAATAGTATATGGTTCTTATTGCAGAGGTCACACCGGAGAATTGTACCTAAGAATTAAGTTTAAGGCCGGGAGCTGGTTAAAACCGAATAAAATCTGCCGGTCACTGAGTTCGTTATATGATGTGTACATAGGTTGGGGAGGAGGAAAGTGGATTATCGATCGAACGACAAGTCACTGCCGTGTTGACCCCTGGAACCCTCGTAGATTGTGCAATGCTTGAAGAAAGCTACAATAATTTCTTGGTGGCCGTCATGCCACCCTCCGTTGAAAGCGGGACCTGGGGATTAGCGTTTTCTGACATTTCAACAGGTATGACGTATATTTTATTACAGGATGTATAGGCTCTAGCATATTTATATCCTGAATGAGTAGACTCGAAGCGAGATCTGTAGCCAGATCTGTACCATAATGGTTTGTCGTGGATTTAATAGGCTTTGTTTTGTTTGATCAGTCTTTGCCCAAGAATAGTTTCGTGTTCAAGAGTCATTTGTCTTGAAGCTTTTCTTTTCACGAGAGAGATAGAAATGAGTTAAAGCAATGTTCATATGTAGACTTTGGTTTCAGATTATCTGTGCTCTCTTTCTTGCAGGAGAGTTTCAGGCGACAGAGTTGCAGGGAAAGGAAGCTTTCGTTCAGGAACTCCTCCGGCTACAACCAGCAGAAATTCTATTTCCTGTAAGTTCAAGGTTCAAAGCCTACCTGAATACTAAGAATATCAACTAAGTTTCAACACAGGTGTATAGTTAATTTCCTACTGATTACGCCATCTGCTTCCAATACCGCGGACGAGATTCATGAAGCTAGTTATGGATAAAGATCTACTGAAGTGGAAACGCCGTAATGCATTTATCTCTGTTTGGTTCTATCAAATCTCGACTTGACACGCCGATCTGGAGTGGTTCAAATCTCACCCCAAGAGTTAAAGCTTTCATGTAGATTAACCTATGTATGGTATATAAAGCGGGAATGTACGAGCATGACTCCATGCTTCTACACTTCTTGTAAAATTTAAATTTGCGAATAAGCTCTGCCGCAGGATGCACATATGTGCGGCCCTGAGTTCCTTTTGGCTTCTCGCAGGTAGGCCGTTTGCAGGAGATTGATGTGGATTCTCCAACTCCCATGGGTCTGCCTTCACAGTTTTGCTACTCAAGTAGGCCACAGTCAGATTTCTCAAAAGCAGAAGCTGAGAAGGTAAAATTGCGTGCGGATTCACCTCCATCTTTATGAATTTTCTGACTTCCTGCAAAGTTTTATGTGGGTTTAGATAGGACGTGAGATTTTGTTTCCAAGGACATTACCTTGGCACGTCTGTCGCCCTTCTTACTTGCATAGTTCTATCACTTCTACTGTTTGATCCGTAAAATAAAACTTTCTTGGTTCGTTTAACGCAGAAGCTCAAGTCAAACTATGCAGCAGTTTCGCTTGAATCGATGGGCATTTCCGGATTTCCTCACGCTGTACGGGCTGCCGGAGGCTTGTTGGGGTGAGCTTTGTATGGTGCTTTGCTCACTCTTGAGTTTCAAATGCAGCGCTCAAAAGAAAATCTCAATGCTTGCAGTTTCCTCTGAGGTTATCGAGAGGTTATCCGTAGCCCATTAGGTAGCCCCTTGCTACCTAATGGGCTACGGATACGTTTCTGTCGAAAATGGATAAGGGTCCATTGACCCGATATTGGTCGCAACAAATGTACGTTCTAGTCCTAAACAGCCCTTTTATTAGTAAAATATAGACACTGAACTCGACAAAACTAATCTTGACCCTTCGATTGAATCGTCTTTGTCAGTTATGTCGAAGAGACTCAGCAGATGACTAGCGAGGATATTCCTCTTCAAAAGTTGAAATACTTCTCTGCAACTGATTCTATGCACCTTAGTGAAACAGTGCGTAAACATCTTGAGGTAAGTCTTGAGATTCTGATGTGTAAAGTTTTTTTCTTCGCTTTTTGAAGGTGAATCTACTTAGAGAAGCCTATCACTGTATTCCCATGGATGGCTCTGTCATCCATCAGGGACGAGGCCATTTTGCTTTCAGCAAGAGTTCTTGAGTTCCAAATCCTCGTCGTTCTTTCAACCATGTTAATTTTGCTGTTTAGTGCGACAATGCATATGAGACAGGTAGTTCTGTGACTTTTCTTTTCTCGAGAAAATAACCATGGGACTAAGTTCGAACTTCTAAGTACATGTGATTTTGAAACAGCTAACGTCTACGTCAAGATGGGGAAAGGCTGAAGGATCGTTCATCTGGGCTGTGGATGAAACAAGGACGGCAATGGGCAGGCGAATGCTTCAAAAGTGGTTATTGTGGCCCTTGCTGCAGCACAAGAAGATCATTGAGCGCCAAGATGCAGTTGAGGTGATAACCAAGTGGTTTCCAGGGGGTTTCCCAAACATTTCTATTGCAGTAGTTGGGATGACTATTATTTTGATCAACGAATGAAGAAGTTGAACGTCGAAATGTTGAAGGATACTACCTGTGCTGGTAACAAGCCTCTCATGTAAGCTCTGTGATTGGCAGATATTTGTTAAAAATTCGGAGGCTCGGAAGGCGCTCCGAAAAGAGCTTGAACTTCTTGGTGATTTAGAGAGGCTGACTGGACGAGTTGGATGGAAGAGAGCTAATGCCAGGTATCAACATTGTAGCGTACTACTAGAGAAAGAGCACCAAGGATCTAAATTATCACTTCGTTTCTGGCGATGCTAGGTGCGTCAAACTATTGAGAAGTTCATAGATGGAAGCCAACACATTTGAAGCTCATTCTTCGACGGCGATTCTGAAATATATCGTGTTGTTCAGGGATATGCTAACAGTAGCCCAATCACTACAAGCGCTTCCCAAGCTCTCAAGGATTGTCGAAGAATTGTCATCAAATTCCTACATTACAGCAGTGCTGAGGATACCCATAGCGGCAATCGAGATGGCCGATCGAGTTCAGGTACAACTAGTTTTTGCGCGTAAAGGTACGCGCAACCTCTTGCATTGCGAAGCAATGTAATCACCTCCTTTTCAATTGTACTCAACTGAGTTTTCTCACTTTTTTCCCTTTACTTTTCTGTTCCAGGGGATGCTCGTGGAGGAATCTGATGCAAGATCTTCAGGGGACCTGATCAAGATTGGAGTTGACGTTGCCTTAGACGAACTTAGAAAGGAGGTTGGACGGGTTCATGACTCAATAGCACATTATGAGCAGCAAGAGCAACAACGCACTGGAATCTCTTCACTTGAGGTAAAGTGTTCAAGGATAACGAAGGTGTGCTCCTCTGTTCTACTACACCCTTGAAGTTTCATCACTAAGGTTTATTACGCCGGTGAGATTACATTGGTGATCAGTCCATCAGTTGTGCATTAGCCACCCAGATGGTCGAAGGAAAGAACCTGATATCGTTCATGTATTTCCTACGACTCAGGGACGAAAACATGTGCTTGAATGATTTATCGATAGACAACAAAATTCCTCGGAGTGGAAAAGGGAATGAGGCCTCCTGGAAACGCATAAGAGAAATTAACAGTTTCTCAAGATTGTAGATCTTGATTAATGATATTTACTTCCTACCGCAGGGTTTGTTTCTCATCATTTGAAAACCATGCTGACCTTATGATTCGCATGACAGGTAGGGTATACCAAGCCTCACGGGCGCTTCATAAGTATACGGAAAACACGAATGAAGGATTTGATTCTCCCAAAAGACTATCAAAATATACAGAGTTTAAAAACCGAAGAACGTTTTACTACCCCAATACTTCTAGAATATGAAAAACTGCGCGTTGAGACTCTGAAGAAAGCAGCTGAGCGTGAAGATCAGCTTTTTATGATGATCAAAGACGAAATGGCTGGGCTTCTGAAACCTGTTCAAGAGTATAGTAAATCTTTGGCCGAAATCGACGTATTGTGTAACTTTGCAGGTAACTTTCCTTATGTGAAGAGTTCGCGTTAACATTTGAAGCGTGTGTTCGTGAGGAATATTCGATTTACTCACATATGCAGAATATTGTGTAGTTTTGACTTAAAAGTCCCTCCATTGACTGGCAGTAATATTAGTGATTTAAGTTTTGTGAGTGGATCTTGTGACTCTTAGGAAGCTCCAACTTTCCCGGACTAATGACATTACTGGTTCAGTCAACATTATTTGAACGGGTTTTTGTTGTCTGATTTGCGTTATTTGCAGAGATAGCTGTTAACTGGAACTATTGCCGACCGCGAATTTTCGAAACTGGCCGTGAAGTTACAATATTGAAAGGTCGGCATCCTGTAGTTGAGCGTTGTCTTCCCGAAGGGATAAATTTTGTGGCCAATTCCACATACTTAGGATATCCTCAGGAAAAGAAAGTAAACGATATTCCTGGCTCATCCCCTTTTGAAGTGACTCAATTATTTAGTGAGTTACAAGAGGGTGGAAAGGTGGCCAATGTACCTTCGAGATTAGTAAGCGAGGAAGAAAGTGCAGAATTTGCACATGAAGACCATGAACATTCTTGGCCTCGGCCTGATGTCATGATATTGACAGGCCCAAATGCAAGTGGAAAGAGTTGCTACTTGAGACAAATAGGCCTTATACAAATTTTGGCCCAAGCTGGCAGCTTTGTACCAGCTCGAGAATGTCGCCTTTCGATTTCTGATGGTTTGTATACGAGGGTCGGCTCTGTTGATGATTTGGCTGCAGGTCAGAGCACGTTCAAGGTGGAGATGTCCGAGTCCGCTGCCATACTTGAGAAGGCCACTCCACGTTCTCTTGTCCTTCTGGATGAAGTGGGAAGAGGGACAGGATCTCAGGAAGGTGAAATGATAGCTCGAGCAATTATCGAGTATCTTGCTCAGCAAGTCAAAGCGAGAACTGTGTTTTCCACGCACTACCATGAGCTCCATGACCTTGACTTGGAGCTACCAAACGTTTCCAACTATCACTTGGAAGCGGTGGAGACTTCATCTGGCGATATTATATTTGACCACACCGTAAGACCTGGTTTTGCTTTACGATCATACGCCGTTGGTGTTGCCAGAGCGTCAGGTATGCCAGAGTGGATTTGCAACAGAGCGTCAGAGCTGCTTGCGGAGTTGGCAATGCCTGAAGGAGCTGAAGACAAGACGGGAGGTAGACTTATAAATTTCAAATTCTTTACTTCCAAGTTTGTTATCAATTTTAGACCGTTGTCCTGCATCACTTCTCACCGAATGTGACTTCTTTACACTGCGTATGAATCGGATTGTTGACTCTTGTATAGATAGAAGCCCCTTCTATATGGTAACAGAAATTTGTCATCCGAAACAGAAATCCTGTCATGTATCTGATATTGACGACCATTTTTGCAGGGTCGAAGTCGCGCCATGCTGAAAGAGAGTTGTTCGATGAACTACTAGAGAAGCAACCGATGGAGCGCAGATTCGAGGATGAAAATCAAAGCGGTGTTTTGGTTGGAAGTACTGGTGGTATGCGCAATAATATCAGGATCGGGAAAAGTAGCGATAGCTGGTTTGAAGTGATCAAGTTCAGCAAACGGGGGAAGTCCAAACGAGCGAGAGTAAGGACGGACAGTGAGACTGGGGAGGTAGATGTGAGTTACATTGAGGAAAGTGATAATCCGGCCTTATTTGACAGCACAGGAGTCCAGGAAGAGGAGGCCGAGTATGACGAAAAAGAAGTTCATCATGCAGCTAGCTCATGGAAGGAGGAAACTAGTTTTGACTTCGACGCCACGGCAGAAGTAACTGCAGATTTGTCCAACGTGGAAACTGGAAAACTTGCAGAAGACTTGAGTGAAGTCTGGAATCGTGTGTGTGCCACTCTTCAGAACCGGCCTGCAACTCAAGCACTCACAAAACAGAAAGTGAGTGACCCTCTTTTCTAGTTTTCCTAGATAAATACAGATCTGAATAACTGATACAGTTTGTCAGTGGCTTTTTCCGTGGCATTGAGGAGTCATAAACACGTGTTTGATTTTTTGATACTGCTACAGGGCATCCTGATCTCAGTCACGAGATCTGCAGACGCCATTAGTGTGAAGATGGGTGCGTCGGCATTGTTTGTTAAAAAGTTTCAACAGCACGAGCATGCGAGCGCATTGGAGGCCGCATTTACTGCAGTTTTGAAGCAACCTGTTCAACTGGAGGTCTCCATTCTTGACACAAAGCACTGATCTTCTCGGGTGTAGACATCTATTTATCGACCCAAGTCTCGATTTTGACACCTTGCCTGTACAGGAGAGCGTGCAAACAGCTTAGTCAACCCTTCTAAAAGAGTTGGAGATGCATCAGAAGGAAAGCGAACCTGAGTAGAACGGATTGAAATAACGGATCTGCAAGGACGGAGACATGAAGAGTCCCTTCTCAGCCCTGGTACCGGGTTATTCTTTGCTTAAGAATGATCCAGTATGGTTCATTCTTACAGCCCCTACTCCCAAGGCAAGCTTGGATATCAGCCAACTTGCCATTTCTGAATAACTTCAGATGTACAAATGAAACTATTGATACTACATAGAACCCTCAAGTTTTACAGGGGAAATACAGGTTTGTTGCTTTGGACTCGTGGTCCTTTATGGCTCCTAAATTGTGCATACTTTCACTTAGTGTAACTCAAAGTTTGTATCTGGGAACTATTTGTCTTGAAGTGTGTTGCTAGCAATATCAATATGTTGTACTATCTGCAGTAGACTCAACGCTAGACAAAGATGAATATTACAGAAAGCTATTGTCCACAATCATACATGAGATGTAACCTAAAAAGTACAGAAACAGGTGTGAAGAAAAGTTAAATACACATCGCGATGTAATTAGACATTCCAGGCTCTATCGTAAATTTCTACAGAAATTTAGTGTCCAATAAATTAGTAACACACTGAAACTGTTAATTTTGTAGAAAGATATTACTCGATTTCCAGTTAGATTCTAAACAAGTGAATACATATTATGCTACCCAATTCAGTGAAAGACTTACCAATTAATAATGTATTCAACTCTTGTTGTAGGCCTCTTATATTGAACGTCAAATTGATTCTTGTCATAGATGAACAAGTCTTTAATAAAAATATCAATTTAGGTCATGAGAATTGTACTAAAATGAATGTAAGCGATATGGAGAAATTTTGTTGGATAACTAACTAAATTAAGATTTCATATTTTATCTTTACTTGACAGTTTAATACTTATTGATAGTACGATTGGGATCGAATGGTGAAACGGAAAAATGTCTTCATTGTATTTGTAGCGATCTCGTGAATTTCTCATTGCCTGATCTAATGATTCCAAGAATTGTAAGAATCTCGACTAACATTGTACATGAGAATACCATTCCACAGCTCTAGTCCTGCATTCAATGCTTGGGTGAACATTCAGTATGAAACGCAGTCGAATGGGTTTCTTAGGTTTCATTTTAGAAGTCAAGTAGACAATTGCAGCGGATGTGCAGAAATGGGTGAAATTGAAGTAGCATATGGGATGACAGGTTGCCGCGATTCCAATCGTGGTATTACATCTATACAATTTTTTTAGTTTACCAATCACATATGGTTTTCTTTAGAGTATAGTAGGGTGAAGTATAATAAACCTAAACTGAGTTTTAATTAGCCGCTCCAATAGATTTGCTCAATACTATCATGTTCACAAAGTAAATTCTACACATAATTGTGTAATCAACGTAAATTAGTTGTAAAGAAAATTCACGTTGTTGTGCCGGAGTCACTGAAAAAGATGAACACTAAACAATAATGAGGAAAAATGTTTAGATTACTTTTACTTGATGAATAACTTTACTTTTTTCTTATCATAATTTTCAAATCATATGGAGATGTATCACTTCTAAATAATATTACATTAGTGCAAGCAATAAAAAGTAAGATTTATAATTACAAGGAATTTATCTATCTTTGTAAAAAATCATTCGCAATACAAGTTGTGTTGAGATGTTTCTTGGATGTACTCCGATATTCCAATCTATTAGCACTTAGATTTACATACGATAATCATTCATTTGTTCACTATGAATCCAAAAAGAGTATGTTTGCTTTAAGTATCGGCATGCGAACACTATGCATTCATATTCCAATGTCAATTCATATATATTCTAATATACCTTGCAAAATAGCTTTTTCATTGCTTTTACAAAAAAATAATAATCATTGCAACAAATTTTTTCCTAAAATTACTTAAAATATACGTACTCATATTTTTTTGGTACAAATTTATGATATTAATTTTTTATTGATAAACATTATATAGTTTTCACTAGTCTCCATAAATAGAAATGTCTCATATGTTATTGTTCTACTTGATGTTTCTAAAGGGAGCGGCTAGTTATACCTCAAGTTGACAAAATTTTGTTTTTAATCCATATCTTTATCTTGCTTGACTGTTTTATCTCTTAAAACCTACGGGGTGTAACTAATCATGCTTTTATGCCTATTGTCGTAGAAGCTTTTTCTTTTTTTTTTACTAAAATAGATTTTTTTTGTTGTTCGCGGTTTATCCACTTTAGGTGTTTGATGTTTTTGATGGCCTGCTCTTTGTGTGAAGCCCTAGACAAGAACATGGTTTTGAAAAATTTATTTGTTATGATTTGTTGGATTATCCTTTTGCTTATATATTTTACTCAAAGTATTAAGATTTTGTTTTTAATCCACATCTATATCTTGAGTGAAGCTCTAGCCACCAACATGGCTTTGAAAAATCTTTTTGTTATGATTCAGTGGAATTCACTTGGTAGTTTCATTGTCTTTTAGTCCTTATTATCCATCACATCTACATTTGATGCTACATAAGAACATTTTGTTCAAGTTTATTGACAAAAGTTTAAACTTCTTTATAGGAAAAAGGTTCTTCATCTTTCAAGATAGATGAGATTTTATCACCATACTCTATATCAATATCATAATCTTCAATAATGGATGAATAAATACATAACTTTTATCTTGTAGTATCACTTTTAATTTGATATGATTATTTCATAAAAGACAATTTTGATTAATATTTTTATTTAGTGTAGATGTTTGAGATTCAACAACAATAATATGCTATTTTAATTGTTGATTTTCAAGAATTTCTTCATCTATATTATAAAATTGATTGTTGTATGTGTGAGATAGTTTTAGAATAATTCAATAAATTGATATTGTTATCTTAGTTATGACTAAGTCTAGCTAGTTTTGACTAAATTTAGATTTGATGTCTCTACTTGACGGATAATTAGGATAGTTCTAGAAGGTTTGAGTGAGCATTATTTTAGGGTACTAAAAAACTTTTTCAAATCAAAGTTAAAATTTCAAAGAAAAAATACTTTGAATACATGTTAGTTTTGATTGGTTTGACTAAGTAGTGAAAATTTCATTGGTTAGACTTAATCTAAACTTGACTTAATAACAAATGGAGGTTTTAGAACTTTGAAGTTCTCAAATGATATGTCACCACCTCAATCTAGGTACAAGAAAGCTTCTTGAAGGTTCATGTAAGCAAATGGCACGTTGACACGTAATGAGAAGTAATCAAATCTAACATAATTTTATCTTGGTAAAATTAAGTTAGATGATAATTGACACATGTTATTATGATAGTTGACATGTAATGAGAAGTTATCAAATCTAACATAATTTTATCTTGGTAAATTTACCAAGATAAAATTAAGTTAGATGATAATTGACACATGTTATTATGATAGTTTTTCAAATAGTTAAATATGGAGGTAGAGAAGAATCTATCAAATAATTTTGAAAAGTTCACTGTGTGAGTACTTGTTTCATTTATATAAGTTTGAATTACAAATTTTTTTTGAAATATTGGTAAATGGTAAATGGTAAATAGATCAAGCCCGTGGGATCCAAAGGGTCAAAAGGCTAAAAAACACAATACAAACAATCCAACTCCAAACTAGGAGAGAACCAAAAGAACACCCTAGCTAGTGCCCAAAGCACTAGAACGGTAACTAATAGTATCTCTAATGTAACAACCTAAATCATAAGGCTCGAGTTGAAGAAGAAAAAAGAAATTCTCGACATCAACTTTATGCGCCACTCGAATCTCTATATATCTAGTACAAGTAATAAACACATGCTCTTCATCCTCAACATTTCTCCCATCACATAGCCTACAAATCCGTTCACTCCTATCAATATTCAACCAACGTCCTTCCTCAATTCCAAGCCTATGAGATCCTGTTCTATGTATGGCAATAATATGACGTAAAGATGTAGTGATCTGTGCAACAAGGTACCCTTGCTCACAATAAATAAACATAGTATTCACATGAAGTTGATAAAACTGCATTTTAGTGCCTCCTCTCCTCCAAATGATGTTGAGAAACTACTCCTTAATACGCTCGCGAAGGGCCATAGGTTGCAGATCCCAATCCAATTCCGTCATATTCCACCTCAATGACCAAGTCATCACATCTGCAAACCATCCCTTGGAACGTGTGGCACGCAAAGCATGAAGAGGAAATCGAGAAGCATCAAGAGATCTCACCCTTCTAATATAAGTGATGGTCAAGTAGAGAGCTTCGGCCTCAAGAGGTAGACAACCTGTTTCCGCAAGATGAATAGCATAAGGAGTTTGGTTCCTTACACCTAACTCTTCTTGTAAGAAGATCTTTTGCACCCTCTCCACATGCTCCCAACTTGTCTTCTTAATGCCACGACCCCACACTTGTGTCTCATATAAAACCACCGGCAACACTAAACTCCTAAATATAAATTTCCTAAGACTCCAAGATACTAGATGAGCTCTTCTACATCGATTTAACAATGAATATAAAGCTTTGTAACCAGCTTCTACTCTCTTTTGCACACAAAGTGCCCAACTATAATTCTGAGAAAAATCAATGCCTAAATATTTGTAACTCTTCACTTGTTCTAATTCTAGTCCCTTGTTAAAGAGAGAGAACTTGGATCTAGTGCCCACAAGAATGATCTTTGATATTTCCAGATTGACCTCCATCTGATTTCGAGTACAAAAGCTAGCCAAAGTATCGAGGTGTTTCTGTAAACTAATTGCATCACGTGCTAGTAATATGATATCATCTACATACAAAAGAGCTTTGATCACAAAGTCTCCAAGTTTGACTCCTTCACTCTCACAATCATCCAACCACCTTTCTATATCATCTATGAATATTCCGAATAGAGTAGGAGAGAGATGACAATCTTGAATAACTCCAATGGTGCTTGAGATCTCTTGAGGCTGAGAGGCATCAATCTTAGCTCGAACTGAAGTGTATAAAGTGGCCACAGCTCCGAGTAGATTAGCCGGTACTCCAATGTCTTGTAGTTTTTCCCATAAAAGCTTACGAGGAACACTATCAAAAGCTTTCTTCAAATCGATGAAGGCACAAAATAAAGCTTTCCCATTGCCCTTGGATTTCTCCCATAAAACACATAAGGCCAAAATATGGTCAATAGTGTTGTATGTAGGACGAAAACCAGCTTGGGCCTTTGCTCTCTTTTGAAAATCCTCTGTCCATGTGTTCAACTTCAATTCTACCAACTTCCCAAACAACTTGGCAAAAACACTACCAACCATGATGGTGCGATAGTTTGTCACCACGTCCTTACTTCCTGATTTATGAATAGTAACAATCTTCCGCATGGACCAAGTTGATGGAAAACCA